AAGAGAAATAATTGTTAAATTAATTATTTGTAATTTTGAATAATTTTTTTATATAATTGAGTAAAGTAATTATAAATTTAAAAAATTGAATGATTCACTCAATAATGAATGTATTTGAAATTGTGAAATTGTTTTTATGGTGGCTAATATAATCACGAAAAAAATTCTTTGTCAGAAACTAGTTATTTCATCATGATCATGTAACTTAGACAACTATTTCGTTAACTTATATATATGAAGAACTTTCAACAGTATGAAGGAAAAAAAAATTATTAGTGTGCATATCCTAATTATAATATTTTTTTAAAGTGCTTAAGAAGTACATAAAAGGTGCTTATTTTTGTTGAAAAATTTAGCTACGCACCCTGAACAATATACTTTGTTTAAAACCATCAATAAATGAACTTACTGCAATATATTTTACCATTTCCATATTTCCACTTATAATGAGCAAGATGTGGTTTTTCATCATAACATTCATAATTTGCGATTTTCTCATAGCACAAGTCATGCATTTTGCAGCATCTAAAGCATACAAAGAATTTTTTTTTATCTTAATATTTTGAGATATTTCAGCTTTTTTTTTCATTTACAGAATACACTTCTTCCATCATTTAATGATTACTCATTTCATCGAAATAACTGTAACTAATTCATGAAAAATTTATTTGATACTTTGAAAAAATCACAATTTTACTTTGGTTCAGTACAAGTCATTCATCTTAAACTACTTATATATTTTTTGTTTATTTATGAACATTTAGTGGATCAATTCTCTCTACTTTATTTATAAAACTCAAAAAGTTTATAAAATCTGATGAAGCGCTTTTATGAATTACAGTGGAACCTGTCTAAATTGACCACCCTCGGGACCAAGTCAAATGGTCACATAGAAGTGGTCACTTTATGAAGACTCTTTAAAAAGGACTCATTAAATAAAACTTTCAGAAAATGGTCACCTTACTCAGGTGCACACTTTACCCAGGTGGTCACTTTTGCAGGTTCCACTGTATATCTGTCCCGATTTAGCAATCGAATTATTATTTATTTTTTTTATTCCATGATGTAAATATTATGGAATTTTACAAAAATATAGGGGCTTCTTTAGCAGTCGCATAAAGGTTAAATGTTGTTATTATTAATACTTACTAGTGATACATTACAAACATGAAATAATTTGAATTGGTAGAAGTAAATTTGCCTAAAACAAAACAAATTCTGTACTTAAATTCCATAAAGTTTTGTTAAAAGTGTTTTTTGAAACTCGAAAAGAAAATAAACTACTGTTTGCCTGTCTTTAATTAAAAAAGAATTGACGGAACTTAAAAACGGAAAATCTATGTTTAACAGATTATCGTATTAATGCAATACATTTATAACTGAACTAGAATAAAAATTAACTTCATTCTCTTTTGTACTGGCTTTCAGAAAAATCTCTACACTGTGGCATCATTATGAGTCCCTTCTGTTTTGCAGGAATGTGAACTATTTGGGAATAACTGCAGTAATTTTAAACATTTTTGTTGCATGAAAAAATGTTAGGAACTACTGCAGTAATTTTAAAAAATTTTATTGCAGGGGAAAATGTTAGGAACTACTGCAGTAATTCTTAAAATTTTTATTGCCGGGAAAAATTTTAGGAATTATTGCAACAGTTCTTAAAAAAAAAAAATTTCATGACAAAATATTAGGAATTACTGCCGTAATTCTTAAAGTTTTGATTGCATGGAAAATTGTTAAAAACTTTCAGTTGTGGTGATTTTCCTGTAATGTTCTTACCCAATCTGGGTACCTTTGTTAACTGGAAATGCTACCCTCTAATAAGAGCATGAATTAGAATAGTTAAATATACAGTAAGGCTTTTAGAAAGCTTAAGTTAAAACTTATCGTGGAAATCTTCAAATTACGAACGTATTCTGTGTGTCGAGCGAACAATTCACGACAGCTGCATTTATAAACTTAATTTAGAAGTTCTTAAAGTAACTTACAATAAATAAGTGAATTTATTATTAGATTACCTGTCAATGTGATCCAGTGGAATTCCACTCCCTCCAAGTCCGCACCAATTTCCGTAGTTGACAAAGTCTAAAGGATTTCTATTAGTTTTAAGGGACATCATTTTCCCCAAATCTAACACCGTAGCATTCACTGCTGCAAAAGAAATAATAACTTTGGATATTATATTATTTTCGATTTCTTAAAGCAAACTTTTCATTCAAACAATTTTCACTATTTTCTTAAAATTAAAAACAATGACTATTATACAGCGTTTTATAAAATTCTTAAATCCCGCAGTGGACTGATCGTTAAGACACGGTGGTTCCCAGCAGATCACCAAAGTCAAGCATCACTGGCTGCGGGTGGGTGACCACTTGGATTAGTCTGCGATGGGACCGAGGATGTGCGGTATTGGTCCTCGTTGAACTATTCTACCGTAAAGTGCAGGTCGTCGGGCTACCGAAGCGGGGGTGCCATCTCCACGACAGAGGATCAAAATTGAGATGGCATGTCTTCGGATCATCCTCAGGGATGTTTCCCAGACCGATAGCCCAGTGTGCAGCTCTAGTGCGACGTAAATGAACTACAGCAATAAAATTCTTAAACAACGATTCTGTTTTACTATTATTTTGTGGGTTTTTTTCTTCTTTTTTTTTTGCTTGCAGCATGTGTTTTTTTTTTTTTCAGTGCTAGGTCTCCGCCCCAAATTGCTTATTTCTGGAAATCATTTCAAATTATTAATCTTTTTATATGTTTTAACAACTGCTTAAGTTGCTTGTTTACAAAAGCTTACTTGAAGTGTTGCTACTTTATTAATGCCTGCTGTAAGTAACAGACAAGCATATAATTGATTAAAACTTAGAGCTGTCACTTACTACGACTTTCTACTTCATTCTCGTTGTTTTTTGCTTATACATATGAGAAATATAATGATAAGCCACATATCGCTAATGCAGGCAATTAGCTCTTAATGTGTATTGTGCCGTTATCTAGTAGAAATTCTGAAAACTTGTTAGTACCTGTCTAAATGCAATACTTTCGAAGAATTCGATGTAAAAAATTTCACCTTTGGAAAAAGTATGATTTATTATCAATACATTATCCCAATCTCTTCATTTTTAATATTCACGAGATTGTATGTCAGTGAAACCGTTGTTTTCCAAAGTATTTAACGTCAACTAGATTTATAACTAGCTTATTTAATTAAATCAGTTTTATATTACATTATTTAAGTTTTAAACCGGAAAGCATCCTCAATTTACATTGATGTGGTCTAGTGATAAAAATAAACATAATCCTCAAGCAAAATTAAGCTAACTTTGCGCGAATTGACAGTTTTAATGACCGACAGTTTTTATGACCCTAAAAGAAGATTGGTGCACAACATTTTATAAATTACACGAAACATTTTTCCTAAATTGTGATTTTGCCGCAGACTTTTTTCTCCACTGTGTGCGTTTTTTTTTAAATTTATTTAACTGTTTTACAAAATCTTTTTCTACCTTGTATAAAAATTTTCAGAAAATATAACGAACATTCGTTTATAAGAAATCAGTTTCAAGTGAATCCCTCTAATATTCGCGCGCAATGAATTCAAAAGTTGTCTGGCAGACGATACCAAATAATCAGATTCCATTACCTATATAAAGCAAACTTGCCAGGAATGAATTTTCAACTAAATGAATGAAAATAAAGTGTTCTATAAATAATTCTAGACATATGTACAAAGCACAAATTCCGACTGTATAAAGCACACAAAAAAAGAAGAAAGGAAAAAAAAACAGAATAACTTACGATTTAATAATCGGATTGTTACGTACTAGGACTCAATCTTAATGGTTCGAGTGGGTGATCTCATATATGCTAATTAGTTTGGAAAGACGATATTTTAAGTTACTAAATCAGGCACAGTAACGTACTTTCAGTGAATAAACATAATTCTTTTCTGCGGATTTGTATTTCTGACTTTCAAAATATAGAGAAGGGCTGCATTTCCTTTTAATAGCCGTCGTTCAACAGCAGACCCAAATTTTGGGTTTACAACTACCAATGTTCAACGCAGTAGCTTCGTAATTTTGAACCCAATACAGAAGACAAAGGAACTCCGTTATGGGAGAAATTTTCCTTCCTGGAAGACTTTTTAATGGACATTTGCTTTACATGAAGAGGAAGACCACGAGAACCTCCCACAGTTAGCCTGACGCAAAGGGACTTTAACCCATGATCCGTCTGCCACTGAGGATATTTCGCGTCCGCACTGTGGTCGCTGCAAGCCGGTTGCGGATTCGTATCGACCAACCATCGCCCGGACTCGAACCCGGTTCACCTCATTGGAAGGCGAATGCTCTATCCCCTGAGCCATCGCGGCTCTGTAGTCGCAGTTTTATTTTATTTTACAACAGTCGTTGAACAGCCGACCCAATTTTCGGGTTTACGACTACTAATGTTCAACTCCGTTGCCTTGTAATTTTGAACCCAATCCAGAAGACAAGGGAACTCCTGGATAAAGTAATGAGAGAAACTTTGGCTTCGTGAAGGACTTTTAGATGGGACCAACCCGCATTTACGTTACACAGAGAGGAAGACCACGAGAACCTCCCACTGTTAGCCTGACGGCAAGGAGTCTCTAACCCATGATCCGTTTACCACTGGGGATATTTCGCGTCAGCACTGTGGTCGGTTAATTTTAATTTTTGCGAATTTCGCCATACCTTTAAGCAAATTAAAAAAAAAATTGCACATAATTATAAATTTGTTAGTCCAAAGATAATTGCGGGAAAAAAAATTTTAATAATTTTTGCTTTATTTAGAAATAATCGAAAAATTTTGAATTATAATGTATATAAATTTTTACATTAATTTAAAGAATAATAGTTTCTGAGAAATCGAATTATGAAAAATGTTGACTTATTTAAGTGGAAATGAAAAGATAAAGTCAAAAAAGTTATTCGAAATGTTAGGTTTTTTTTCTTTTCCTTTTTTTCACTGAACGTATAGCGTTAAATTTGTGCATTCGGAATGGCAAATTTTAATTATTTAAAGTTTAATTATATTACAATAATTATGTAATTTGCTCCTATTTATTTAGAAAAATTAGCATTTTTCACCTAAGATAAATAAATAAACTTTATTTAATGTAATGAAGCACTTAACTCTTTTTTTACAGTTAGATGTGGATGGAAATTAAATGCGATATACAAAAACTTAAAAATAATCAAGTAAAAAGAAGAAAAAAATGGAGGTCGTTTTATGAGAAAAACAATAAAAATTTCTTTTCAGCACTTTCGATATAAGGAAACTTCAATCACATGAACTATTTTCCTTTAAAATCATAAAACTAATTTTTATGATACTTTAAAATAGCAAGAAGTTAGGAAAAATATTGTAAAAATTAGTTCTAACATGATTTTTTACTTACAGCGGAGTTTCTCAGTTTTAATTTTATAAAAAAAGTTGCTATAAGTATCGTTTTAGTGCTTTAAATTGAAAAAAGAATTTATTTGTTGGGGTCTAGGGAAACATATTCTAATTTTCGTTTTTGAGCTTTTGTTGCTAATGTTAGCATATTAAGATACTCTTTGAGAAGCAAATTATTTTACAGAAATTGGTTGCAGTAAGTGCAGAAGTTGAAAACACCTTTTAAACAACGCTGTGCAAATGGCAGTTGAAATATCCGACACATACTAATATTCAATTAAAATGTCCACAAAATTAAAGGAAAGAACCAATATTATTAATTTTCAATTTAAAATTCGTTTCCTTCTATTTTTTTATGCATACAATTAAAGTAAAAGGCACTTTATTAAAATTAAGGTTTGTATTAAAATATAAATGTTAAAGAAATAATTTTAAAAAATTTATTTTTACAAAATATTGAATTTGTTCAAAGTCAAATCAATCATTTTCCACGAACACTCGCACATATATTTGCAAATGTTATGACAAAAAATTGTATAGTGGATACTCATGAACTAAGTAACTATTAAGAATTCATTCGCATATTTTTCAATTAACTTAGTAAATTAGCTTAACTTAGTAAATTAACTAAATAAATTTTGTTTTGGGATTATTGCATTAAACGATAACATATTATTAATTCATTTAATAAGTTTGATTTTTTTCAATTTTTTCATTGCTTTTCAGTGTTTTTTTTTTTCAAAAGTTCGTTTAAACATAAATTATTTCAAATGTGATTAATTAAGTTTCTGATAACTAATAATTTAAATAATTGTTATAATAACCATTCGAGTCATAGTATAATAATATATTCAAATAAAATTTTCGTTTACATACTTATAAATAATGTTCATAAGATCAAAATCTTTTTTCCCCTAACATTTTAATAACCGGAGTCGTTCAATTTTTCAAACTCCAACTCCTGCAAAATTTTCCACAGCCCTATATTTTAACTTACGAAAACAGCAAAAATTTCATAAACATATTTTTACTTATTTTAGGTAACCATTATCTTCAGAGATAAAATTTAGAAATTTACAGTTTTTTATTTTGATTTATGTGTGTGTTGTACTTAAACATGATGTCCATACAAAAAAAAAATATTAATTCTTTTAAAAAAGATATGGGGAAAACTGGTTAAAAAAGATAAAATTAGACCTTTTTTTCAAAATCATAAAACTTTGTCAAAATTTATAATTTTCGTCATTATTCTAGCTATATATTACTCATAAAAACTCAACTTAAGAAATAAACTAAGCATTTGACAGCTTAGATATTTTTTTAAAAATATCGAATCTTGTTTGGCAAAATAGGCCAAAAATAGCAGTTGATTATTTTCATTTTGGCTATAAAATATAAAATAATCGTTTAATTATTTAATCCATATTCTATTCTCTAGACCAGGGGTTTCCAACTTATATGAGGCCGGGGGCCACAGTTAAAAACACAAATAAAATGGCGGGTCGCAACTTTATCAAAATTTTGTGTAGGACTCTTTTATGTTTGAAGTAACATTAAATATTTCTGTCAGATTTTTACCAAGTTGCGCAAAACAAAAGTATTGAATTACAAATTCAAATAGGAAGCAGATTTTTAAAAATAAAATGTTAGTAATAATGGTTTTAAAAATGTAAAATAAATAATAAAAATTCGGGCTACAATAACTTTAATGTGCACCTATGTATTAAACAATTAAT